CATTTACTCTCACTGAACTAACAGAAGGGCCTAGCAGGAAATAGATTATTTTTAAAAAAGGAATCAGCACTGAATTATACACTTTAAAATGGTTAGTATGGTGAATTTTGTGCTATGTGAATTTTACCTCAATAAAAAATTATTTTAAAGAAATCAGATTCTATTCCGCTTCCCTGCAGGCCCACTTTTCAGACCCTTATCGAATTTGCAAATATATTGCAATAACTGCTTAACTGGCTGTTCTCCATCCCATCCTCTTTAGTGCTGCCAGAGTTGCTAATCTGAAAACCCTTCAACCTATTTTGTGAAGTACAAAAAGGCCTCTATAGCTTGTCTGTGGTGTGCTTCTTCCTGTACTAGTTAAACTGAATTACATGCCTTCTTTGATCTTTCTGTACTCTCTTGTGAGTGCATTCACAAGAATGCACGTACAGAGCTTCCTCTGCACGTACAGAGCTTCTGCTGGAGTATCTCCTTTTCTGTTACTCCACCCCTCCATTCCCCTGCAGGTTCTTATTCTTCAAGTGCTAACTTCAACAGTAGTACCTTCTTCCTCGGCTAAGCTTTTCTTGGGTCCTCCAGGTGAATTGAGATGAATTCAGCACATTGTATTGTCATTGTTTATGTGCCCGTTTCCCCCAGTAAACTGTGAGCATCTTGAATACAGAAGCTTATTTATTTTTCTTTTACTCATGTCCAGGAGTGTCTGTCAAATTGTCCTCATTGAACATTTAATTAATTGTGTGCATGTAGAATCTGGGATCTGTTTTTTCACTTGCAGGTTGTCTTAGATTTCACAACCTAAAATTGTGTTTGCTCATCAGTAACATGGAATTAATATAGACTGATAAAGATGTTTCAGTTTTTACCCCTCCTCCTCTAACTGAGAATGTTTTAGGCTGTTTTTTTTAAAAAAATTACTGTGATACTACTTAGACACAATTTCAAAATATAGGTGTTCCATTGCAGGACATTTATTTTTTATCAATTATTGAAGACATTATTTTTAAAAATTCCAGGTCTACCCATTATAGTAGATTTGGCTTTAAATAGTAGAGTAAATGTATGATCTTTAAAAATCTAAGTATTCTTTTTAAAAAGACACCTTCCCTAAATGAATATGATTAAAAATCACTCAGGTTGGGGTATGGGGTGGCTCACGCCTATAGTCCCAGCACTTTGGGAGGCTAAGGCAGAAGGATCGCTTGAGCCCAGGAGTTTGAGATTGGCCTGGGCAACATAGTAAGACCCTGTCTCTACAGAAAAAAATTACTAAAGTTCTTCATAGTTGTGTATTGCTAAATGGAATGCTACCCTACTCACCTTGTTTTTTTATATGGGGGGAGGAGTGAGGATGAGGGTTCAGTTCCCTTTTATTTTTTCTTTTCTTTTTTTTATTGAGACAGTCTCACTCTGTCACCCCAGGTAGAGTGCAGTGGCATCATGACAGCTCACTGCAACCTCCAACTCCTTGGCTCAAATGATCTCTCTGCCTCAGCCTCCTGAGTAGCTGGGACTACATGATGCCCAGCTAATTTTTCTATTTTCAGTAGAAACAGTCTTGAACTGAGCTCAAGCAATCCTCCCATCTTGGCCTTTCAGAGTGCTAGGATTACATGTGTGAGCCACCTCACCTGGCCCTTATCTCATTATTTATACCTTTAATCATGTTTTTCCCTGGAACATGGACTTGTTCTGTCATATTTATTGAATGCCTTCTACATGCCAGGCACCATGATTTACATACATTATATGTAATCCTCACATTAACACTTCAATGTGAGTATTAATGCCCTTTGATAGATGAGGGAACTGATGCCAGACAAGAGAGAGGTTGGGGGCTTGCCCAAAGAAGTACAGCTCTAAGAAGCTGAGCTGAGATTCCACCCCAGGTCTGTCTGCCTCTAAAGCTATGGTCTCTGCTAGGCCACAAAGGCTTGCTTTTGCAATGACTGGTTTTATTTCTGTGGTGAGTTATTTTCCCCTTGCAATGGGAGGGAAGTTGCTTGTCCTCACATCTGGTGTTGTCTTGGGTAGGCAGCATGACAAAAATGAAAAAGCATGATCTTTGATAAAGTTACTAATAATTCTTTATTTCTGGGAATCTGTGATAATAAAGAAATGGTGTGAAATACGGAAAAGAGTAAATGCACAAAACATACAGAAGTATAATAAAAATGGCCATTATAATGCTAGGATGACAAATAAGTCCCCCCTTTAGTTTTCAAAAAAATTTATAAAATTTTAAAGAGGATATGCTTTAACCCCAGTGATCTTTTTTTTTTTTTTTTTTTTTTTTTGAGACAGAGTCTCGCTTTGTTGGCCAGGCTAGAGTGAGTGTCGTGGCGTCAGCCTAGCTCACAGCAACCTCAAATTCCTGGCTCAAGCAATCCTCCTGCCTCAGCCTCCCGAGTAGCTGGGACTACAGGCATTCGCCACCATGCCTGGCTAATTTTTTGTATATATTAGTTGGCCAATTAATTTCTTTCTATTTATAGTAGAGATGGGGTCTCGCTCTTGCTCAGGCTGGTTTCGAACTCCTGACCTCGAGCAATCCGCCCACCTCAGCCTCCCAAAGAGCTAGGATTACAGGCGTGAGCCACCGCGCCCAGCCAACCCCAGTGATCTTTACCAAATTATTCTAAGTCTGATTTTCCTCATCATTAGAATGGGAAAAATGCCTATTTCTTTGGCTGTTGTGAAATTAAGTGAGAAGAAGAGGACTGTAAAGTACCTATTACCATATCTGGCATATAGAAGATATTAGATGAATATTAGAAAATGAAATAAGGCCGGGCACAGTGGCTCACACCTCTAATCCTAGCACTCTGGGCGGCCGAGGCAGGTGGATTGCTTGAGCTCAGGAGTTCAAGACCAGCCTAAGTAAGAGCGAGACTCCATCTCTACTAAAAATAGAAAAATTAGCCAGGCATAGTGGTGCACGCCTGTAGTCCCAACTACTCAGGAGGCTGAAGCTGGAGGATCACTTGAGCCCAGGAGTTTGAGGTTGCTTTCAGCAAGGCCGATGCCACAGCACTCTGGCCTGAGCAACAGAGCAAGACTCTGTCTCAAAATAAAATAAGATCATGTTCCTCTGGGTAGTAAAATGTTTTCTAGTTGATCTTTTTGTGATATTTTTATGAGTAATATTTAGAAAGTAGAATCACCTACATATTTTAACGAGGCAGGCTGTCATTGGAAAAACTTCTACATGGTCTGACATTGCTTTGAGAACTGACACATGAAAGTGTCACATGTGCAAAAACCCTGCAGTTCTTTGGAAAATATCTCATTACAGAGAACTGGGCTCAGTATCAGTTGCAAAACAAAACAAATTGAGACACCCAAAAAATGAAGGAAAGGGGACTGCGATATATTTTAGCCCAATCCAGGAAGCAGGTGAACTGAGAATGGAGCCGATGACATAAGGACTAAAATTGTTCTCTTCTCTGTTCACTGTTCACTGCCAATTTCCAGATCTGTGTAGTTTCACTCTTTTTTTTTTTTTTTGAGACAGAGTTGTGCTCTGTCACCCTGGGTAGAGTGCAATGGCATTATCATAGCTCTCACTGCAACCTGGAACTCCTCAGCTCAAGTGATCCTCCTGCCTCAGCCTCTCCATTAGCTGGGATTACAGGTACATGCCACAGGTCCAGCTAATTTTTTTCTGTTTTTGGTAAAGATGGACTTGCTTTTGCTCAAGCTGGTCTTGGACTCCTGAGCTCAATGATCCTCCTGCCTCAGCCCCCCAGAGCATTATGATTACAGGCATGAGCCACCGTACCCAGCCAGTCTCACTCATAATTTAGGGATGGAGTTGGGAATGTATAGTTTAACCAGGAATTTAATTTTACTAACATCTAAAGACTGGTAGATGATTAGGAAAGCTAAATATAATAAAGAGTTTTTATGAATAAACCCTGATATTAGAACAAAGATACAATCAATTAAGATTTCGGGGAAAGGGAGGTGCATTTTAGAGGAATTCAGACTGATTTTGCTTAGCTTTGTTACCTCTGAAATTCAAAAGAAATCTGAATGGCAGGATCAGATTTTAGCTTTAAATGGTAATTAATGGATTCTTATACTCCATTTTTTATGAGTGACATTCAGTGACAGTAGCAGAATTTGTGGTTAAGGCTTAAGCTACTTTGTTAGAGCTAATCAAGATAAATATTATACACACAGGTAAAATGAAATTAAACTGTTGTCTAACTGCCATTTCTTCATCTTCTTTATACTTTGTAGTCCTAGATTTACCTAACACTTGATTATTACTAGCAGGATTAGAGATATTTATAGACTTTCTAATAGTGGGGTGATTTTTTAACCCTGCTAATTAAAATGTTTTAAGAGAAGAGAAAGACTTTAAACTTACTTTACTTTGTTGGTAAATACTATATTTTAATTGTGAATATTATTGTTCTTTTTGGTTTATTTGAATAGTAGAAAATAGTCTAATGTACTCCAGGGAAAAGGAGGGAAATAAACTAATTGTGACTGTCTTTGCTTATAAATTTAATGTGTTTTTCCATAATGACTATAATTTGTTTTAAATATATCCAATGAAATTAAAAACTTTGGATCAATATATTTTCTTTCTTTCTTTCTTTTTTTTTTTTTTTGAGACAGAGTCTCGCTTTGTTGCCCAGGCTAGAGTGCCGTGGCATCAGCCTAGCTCATAGCAACCTCAAACTCCTGGGCTCAAGCAATCCTTCTGCCTCAGCCTCCCGAGTAGCTGGGACTACAGGCATGCGCCACCATGCCTGGCTAATTTTTTATATATATATTAGTTGGCCAATTAATTTCTTTCTATTTTTTTAATAGTAGAGACGGGGTCTCGCTCAGGCTGGATTTGAACTTCTGACCTTGAGCAATCCTCCCGCCTCGGCCTCCCAGAGTGCTAGGATTACAGGCGTGAACCACCGCACCCGGCCCTTAAGAGAACTTTAAATGCCAAGTTGTATATATTAATAGCATGCTCACTTTGTCTTTTTTAGATGGTGTTATCTGAAAAGGTTAGTCAACTGATGGAATGGACCAATAAAAGACCTGTAATAAGAATGAATGGAGACAAGTTTCGTCGCCTTGTTAAAGCTCCACCAAGAAATTACTCCGTTATTGTCATGTTCACTGCTCTACAACTTCACAGACAGTGTGTCGTTTGCAAGTATGAACTTTCAACTACACTTTAAATAGCTCATAAGATTTTAACCATTTATCAATCCCAGAAGAACCAAATGAGTTCAGTGGGTACATAAATAACTAATGTATATACCTCACTTAGGAAGTCTGTGATAAAGTATGCCATTGTTCTTTAGTCAATTCTTGGGTGTCTGAATTAGCAGCAGGAGCATGGATAAAGATTGTAGTAGCCATCAATGTTTGCCAATGGCATTGATGTCGTGTTTTATTATTTATAAGTGTTTTCAGCTTCATTCTTTTGTTTTATCACAATAATCTTAGAAGGTAGGGATAGCAAATATTCTCCCATTTTTGGAAAGAAACAAGCTCTAAAATTTTAACTGGTCTACCCAAAGCTTAATATGTTTATTAATGCAATAATGGTGGCTTCATCTAAGTTTGAATTATTAGATAACAGGAAAATTTTTTTTTTTTTTTTGAGACAGAGTCTCACTTTGTTGCCTAGGCTAGAGTGAGTGCCGTGGCGTCAGCCTAGCTCACAGCAACCTCAGACTCCTGGGCTCAAGCGATCCTTCTGTCTCAGCCTCCCAAGTAGCTGGGACTACAGGCATGCGCCACCATGCCCGGCTAATTTTTTCTATATATATTAGTTGGCCAATTAATTTCTTTCTATTTATAGTAGAGACGGGGTCTCGCTCTTGCTCAGGCTGGTTTTGAACTCCCGACCTCGAGCAATCCGCCCGCCTCAGCCTCCCAGAGAGCTAGGATTACAGGCGTGAGGGAAAATTTTTTAAAAAACGAAGATGCATGTGATTTCATGTGGAATCTACAAAAGTCAAATTCACATGAGCAGAGAGTGGAATGGTGGTTGGTTACCAGAGGCTGGGGGGAAGGCATGGGGAAAGGGAAGATGTTGATCAAAGAGCACAAAGTTTCATTTAGATGGGAGGAATAAGTTCTGATGATATAATACACAGCATGGTGACCACATTTAATAACAATGTATTATGTATTTTAAAATTGCTAAAAATAGATTTTAAATGCTCTCAGCGCAAAAAGACGAGTAGGTGATGTGACGGCTGTATTAATCAGCTTGATTTAATCATTTTACAGTGTATGCATAACATCATTGTGCCTCATAAATATGTACAATTATTTGTCTTTTTTTTTTACTTTTCTAGTATTTTTGGCTACTGTCAATTAAAAAATAATTTAATTTAATGTTTTGTTTTTTTTGAGACAGAGTCTCACTTTCTTGCCTGGGCTAAAGTGCCGTGGCATCAGCCTAGCTCACAGCAACCTCAAACTCCTGGGCTCAAATGATCCTCCTGCCTCGGCATCCCAAGTAGCTGGGACTACAGGCATTCGCCACTATTCCTGGCTAATGTTTTTTTCTATTTTTAGTTGTTTGGCTAATTTCTTTCTATTTATGGTAGAGACGGGGTCTCACTCTTGCTCAGGCTGGTCTCAAACTCCAGAGCTCAAGCAATCCTCCTGCCTCAGCCACCCAGAGTGCTAGAATTACAGGTGTGAGCCACTGCGCCTGGCCAAAAAATATTTTTTTTTTTTTTTTTTGAGACAGAGTCTTGCTCTGTTGCCTGGGCTAGAGTGCTAGCTCACAGCAACCTCAAATTCTGTCTGAGCCTCCCCAGTAGCTGGAACTACAGGCATGCACCACCATTCCTGGCTAATTTTTTCTATATATTTTTAGTTGGCCAATTAATTTCTTTTTTTAAAAAAACTCCTTCCTTCCTTCCTTCCTTCCTTCCTTCCTTCCTTCCTCCTTCCTTCCTTCCTTCCTTCCTTCTTTCTTTCTTTTCTTTCTTTCTTTCTTTCTTTCTTTTCTTTTCTTTCTTTTCTTTCTTTCTTTTCTTTCTTTCTTTTCTTTCTTTCTTCTTTTCTTTCTTTTCTTTCTTTCTTTCTTTTCTTTTCTTTCTTTTTTGAGGCAGAGTCTCACTTTGTTGCCCAGGATAGAGTGAGTGCCGTAGCATCAGCCTAGCTCACAGCAACCTCAATCTCCTGGGCTCAAGCGGTCCTACTGCCTCAGCCTCCCATGTAGCTGGGACTACAGGCATGCGCCACCATGCTGGCTAATTTTTTGTATATATATTTTTAGTTGGTCAATTAATTTCTGTGTGTTTTTAGTAGAGACAGGGTCTTGCTCAGGCTGCTTTCAAACTCCTGACCTCGAGCAATCCACCTGCCTCGGCCTCCCAGAGTGCTAGGATTACAGGCGTCAGCCACCGCGCCCGGCCTGGGAATTTACTTTAAATAAAAAGGCAGGACGACTAGTTTAGTAAAAACTTGGAGGCTCTTCAAATTCTGATAGCCTGGGCCATGTGAAGGAATAGACAGCCTTGTTTCAGAATAGTGTGTTATTCTACCCCAACCCTTGATAACTTTTCTTTCAGAATTTTCTCCTTAGAAGTGAGGGATAGTCAAGATATTTGGTTCCATAGTGCTTATTTTAAGGGGTGTGTGCTGAATGTAAATTAAAAATAAATGAAAGAAGGAAAAAGAATAGTATTTATTAACTATGAATAAATCTATAATTACTTTTAATTCAGTTCACTCAGTAAGAATCAAGACTATACAAAAATGACAGGGAACAAACACAAACTCATACATAATTCTGTGTTAAATGCAAATTAATGGAATTCTTACTAACCTGAGTTTTTACTGGTATCTTTCTGTGAGACCAAATTTAAAATTGACTCACACTTTCCTAAACTCATTCAACAAATAAAACTTAAGCAAGGGCAATGTGAATAATACTATATTTTTTTGGTGCCGTTGGAATGAGAAGCGTAAAATATATGCCCTACCCTTATCATTTGGTTAGGGAAATGAATTACGCACATAAAGATCTAGCTGGCAATATAAGACAATTTGTGAATAAGTAATAGATTAATTGTATACATAATAAATACTGTAAAATTTCAGGAAGGACAAATAATAGGAGTGGTTAGGGTTGACCTAATGGAGGAGACAGGATTTGTGCTAGGGCTAGACAGAGGGATCAAATTTAGGTAGAAACAAGATATTCCAGTTAGAAGCAATTATGTACACAAGGGTGTGGAGATAGGAGTAAATCAGGTGCTGGGATTAAGGGATCCTATTTGATATTGATTAGTAGTGAGGGTAGATAAAAGCTAGATGCAGGCCGGGCGTAGTGGCTCACGCCTGTAATCCTAGCACTTTGGGAGGCCGAGGCGGGCGGATTGTTCAAGGTCAGGAGTTCGAAACCAGCCTGAGCGAGACCCCGTCTCTACCAAAAATAGAACATATTAAGTTGACAAAAAAAGTTATATATACAAAAAATTAGTCCGGCCGTGGCTGGCGCATGCCTGTAGTCCAGCCTTACTCGGGAGGCTGCAGGGCCTAGCTGAGGATCGCTGAGCCCCGGAGATTGAGGTTGCCTGTGAGCCAGCTGACGGCACTCTACTCTACCTGGGCCAACAAAAGTGCAGGACTCCTGCTTTCAAAAAAAAAACCTAGATGCATTATTTTGAGCTAGGCTGATAAATGAACCTGAAGTAAACGTGAGCAGCGGCACTTGCCTGTAGTCCCAACTACTCACAAGACTGAGGTGGGACGGATCTTTTGAGGCCAGGAGGTCAAGCCTGGAGTGCGCTATGATTGTGTCTGTCAATAAACCAGTGCACTCTAGCCAGGGCAGTGTAGCCAGACTATCTCTAAAAAAACAATGAATAACCGTTGAAAGAGCTTGGAGACTGTATTCTGAAGGTAACAGAAAAGGAACAATGGTTTCTGAGAAGAGGAAGGGTTTCAGAAAACTAGTAATTTAGGAGGACTGATGTATATTGCAGTGCTAAAGAAGCGATTGGAGGAGAGAAAACGAATAATCAGTATTTTAATATCCTACTATTAGATATTAAGGATCTGACCTTAGATGATAGCAATAAAAATAAACAGGATGAGATGATTAAAGTTAATCTACATATAGAGATTGACATGATTGGAAAGTGAAAGCATATGGGAGATAACAGAAAAAGTCACGACGTGATGACTTGGACGTTTGATTAATTTCAATTCCTTGGACTCGTCTATCTTCATATAATTAAAATCACTGAATTTTTCTTTTTTGGAGTTCCCAGTAGATGCTTTAATTGTTTTTTGTTTTTGTTTTTTTTTGAGACAGAGTCCACCGGCCTGGCTAGAGTGAGTGCCATGGCGTCAGCCAAGCTCACAGCAACCCAACTCCTGGGGCTCAAGTGATCCTCCTGCCTCAGTCCCCGAGTAGCTGGGATACAGGCATAGCCACACCATGCCCGGCTAATTTCTGTATGTATTAACTTGGCCAATTAATTTCTTCCTGATGTATAGTAGGAGATAGGGTCTTTGCCTCTTGCCTCAGGCTGGTTCGACTCCTGACCTCAAAAGCAATCCGGCCGCCTCGGCCTCCCAGAGTGCTAGTTTTTGGATTACAGAAATGCGGTGAGCCACTCGCCCGGCCTGCTTTAGATTTTTAAAATGGATTAATATTATAGTCCTACTTTCTCTAGGCAAAATACTTCTGCCTTATCTTTGAACTCTTAGAAGTAACTTAGGGTATTATAAATTGCAGAGACTATTAGCTGTATTTGTGCAATGACCACTAAAAGAGCTTTGGGATAAGAAACAGACGTGAGGTATAAAGTAGAATCAGATGATTACTACTTTCTGGTGAAATCCTCAACACTCAGGAATAAGGCTTCTCTTATGCCAAAACAAGGTTTATCCTTACCCTGTCAGCAAAGCCTGACTTACTTGTTAATGTTTTTTTACTATTTCTTGTATTAGAAAAACTACTGTGCTTGGTTGCATCTCTTTTACTGCTGATAAACTAGATTGTTTTTTAAAATTGTTTTATATGTTATCTTCACAAATCTGATTGCATTCAGGCAAGCTGATGAAGAATTCCAGATCCTAGCAAACTCCTGGCGATACTCCAGTGCATTTACCAACAGGATTTTTTTTGCCATGGTGGATTTTGATGAAGGCTCTGATGTATTTCAGATGGTAAGACCTTTCGTTTATTCTACTGTATAGGAATAGATAAAATGTGGATAAAGTGGAATACATTTTTTTCCAGTGGCTACAAGAGGTTAAATAGGACAGCTCTTTTTTTTTTTGAGACAGAGTCTCACTCTGTTGCCCGGGCTAGAGTGCCATGGCATCAGCAACCTCAAACTCCTCAGCTCAAGTGATCCTCTTGCCTCAGCCTCCCAGGTCAGGTAGCTGGGACTATAGGTGCAGGCCACCACGCCCAGCTAATTTTTCTATTTTTAGTAGAGACGGGGTCTTGCTCTTGCTCTGGCTGGTTTCGAACTCCTGACCTTGAGCGATCCGCCCGCCTTGGCCTCCCAGAATGCTAGGATTATGGGCGTCAGCCACTGTGCCCAGCCAGGACAGCTCTTATTTAGGATCTAGAGTAGTGAACAAAAAGCTAAACTTAAGCTAACCATCAAATGTAGTGATCGATGCTAACCTATTAGAATGTGGAGATTAGGTAGTAATCAAGTAATTAATATATTTTTATTGTAGTAAAATATATAAAACATAAAATTTACCATTTTAACCATTTTCAAGTGTATAGTTTATCAAGTAATTTTTAAAATCATAGCATGGATTCCACCATTATATAATACTGAAGTCCTTAGTAGGGCAGTGCGTAGAGGGACAAAGGGTTGCAATATGGGAGGGAAATGCCAAGCTCTAGGAACCCAGATCATCTATAATGGGTGATAAGCATGCTTTCCCTTTGTTTTGGAAGGAAACTAGCTTTCAAGCATATACAAATACCCTTGATAAGGTCATCCAGAACAAAGGCAGTTAGTGCCTTTGCTCACAAGTCATGCAGAAACAAGAGAAACTCATACAGAATTATCTCCCAGCATAGAACCTTTCAGGGACTTTAACATGTTGATATATGTTACACTTTCCTTTCCAATAAAGGGCTCTAATACAGAGAATTTACCAAATTATTGGACCACTTGATAGAGCATTTTGGGTGGATTTCATGAAACATACTTTTGAAAAGAATGGTATATAGACTAAAGCCAGAATTCCTTAGTCCTTTTCACTTCATGTGCTTTTTACTCCAAGCACACAAGACCACATTTCTTATAATCATATTCTTCCATGCACTATCTTATTTCAGCACTATTGATTGTTCATTTCCAAGAACATGAAGTATATTTACTTCCCTGCCCCTTTTTTCTCCACTTTCAAAATAATAAGGCTTACACTTTAAGCCTTGCTTCAGTTACTTCCTTTAAGCCTTTTTAAATTCTCCAGATGAAAAGTGAGTCATACTTTTTCTTTTATTGTCACACTACTTTCCTTATATTTCTATTATATACTTGTCCACATTCTATCTTATAGTAGAATTAGCTCTATAATTGTTTGGCAGTATCTCTTAGAATATAGTTAGTACTTAATGGCAGAGCCAATATCCTGTAGCTATCAGTACTTAGTACATAACAGGTATTCAGTAAATGTTGAAAAAAATGGCTTAATGTCCCATTTTGCAGTATATCATTGTGCTACTCATATTCCAGTGTCCCACAGCCATCTTCATCAATCAAAATTTGTATGTTTATTAAAAATGCTATAACCTAAAATTGTTAGTGCATTTAGCTTTATTAGACCAAAGGAAACAATTTCTAGAGTTTAAGAAACTACTCTCTCATTCTCTACTATTCAGGCTGACATTGCTTAGAAAATTAAAAATTTTAATTCCATTGATTTTAACAAGATATCTATAACTTCTGCTAGTGATATGTAAAAATGCAAAACCAATTTTTCCTACCTCAAATAGTTTTTTTATTAATATATAATATTTGTACGTATTTATGGAGTATATGTGATATTTTGTTAATGCATAAAATGTGTAATGATCAAGTAAGGGTATTTAGGGTATCCATCACCTCGAGTATTTATCATTTCTATGTGTTGGGAACATTTCAAGTCCTTTCTTCTTGCTATTTTGAAATGTACAATACATTGTTGTCAACCTACTCTACTATCAAACATTAGAACTTATTCCTTCTATCTAATTGTGTGTTTGTACCTATTAACTGACCTCTCTTCATCCCACTCACGTATCTTCCCAGCATCTGGTATCTATCATTCTACTCTCTACCTCTATAGGATCAACATTTTTAGCTCCCATATGTGAATAAAAACATGTAATATATGTCTTTCTGTACCTTATTTCATTTAATACAAAGACCGTCAGTTCTATCCATGTTGCTGCAAGTGATGAGATTTCATTGTTTTTTATGGCTGAATAGTATTGTGTATATATACCACATTTTCTTTATCCATTTGTACATTGATGGACACTTACGCTGATTTCATATTTTTGCTATTGTAAGTAGTGCTGAAGTAAATATGGGGGTACATGTATATCTTTGATATACTGACTTCCCTTTGCATAAATACTCATTAGTGGGATTACTGGATCATATAGTAGTTCTGCTTTTAGTTTTTTGAGAAATTTCCAGGCTGTTTTCCATAGTGGCTCTACTAATTTACATTCCTTCCAGTGGTTCATAAGAGTTCTCTTTTCTCTGCATCCTTGCCAGCATCTGTTTTTTGTCTTTTTAATAATAGCCATTCTAACTGGAGTAAGATGATACCTCAGTGTGGTTTTGAATTGTATTTCCCTGATTATTAGTGATGTTGAGCATTTTTTCATATACCCATTGGCCATGTCTTCTTTTGAGAAATGTCTATTCATATCCTTTGTCCACTTTTTAATGGGATTAGTTGATTTTTTTACTGTTGAGTCGTTATTATACAGTCGTTACAATACTGTACATTCTGGGTATTAGTTCCTTATTGGATGAATAGTTTGCAAATATTTTCTCCCATTTAACAGGTTGTCTTTTTTCTCTATTGATTGTTTTCTTTCCTGTGCAGAAGCCTTTCAGTTCAATATAGTTTCATTTGTCTGTTTTTGTTGCCTTTGTACCTCAAATAGTTTTTAATATTAATGCCCATTACTCCATTTTAGAGCTACATTTTAGAGTTAGAGATATAAGGATGATAGTGTGTCTATCTGTGGAAGAAATTAAAATCTTTCTCAAAGTAACAGTGTATTCAAAAACTAAGCATGGATGAAAAGTGATAACCTACCAAAAATAGTGTATCTTAGTTTGGCTCATTAACCTCCAAAGATTTTCAAAACCTGCAAGATTATTTTGTTAATTTTTAATAGTGGTAAAATATACATAAAATTTCCCATCTTAACCATTTTTAAATGTACAGGTCAGTAGTGTTAGGTACATTTACACTATTGTATAGCTGATCTCTAGAACTCTTTTCATCTTACAAAACTGAAACTCTGTATCCATTAAACAACTTCAGTTCCCTACTCCTAGCCCTTGGTACTCACCATTCTATTTTTTGTCTCTATGAACTTGACTAATTTAGGTACCTCATATAAATTGAATCAGACAGTATTTGCCTTTTTTTGTACTGCCTTATTTCACTTAACATCATGTCCTAAAAGTTTATCCATGTGGTAGCATGTATCAGAAGTTCCTTCCTGGGTGGGGTGCAGTGACTCATACCTGTAATAATAGCACTTTGGGAGGCTGAGACAGGAGGATCACCTGAGCCTCAGGAGTTGAAGACCAGCCAGAATAAGAGTGAGAATCCAACTGTACTAAAGAAATAGAAAAATTAACCGGGCATTGTGATGGGTATCTGTAGTCCCGGCTACTGGGGGGGCTGAGGCAGGAGGATTGCTTGCTTGAGCCCAGGAGTTTGAGATTGCTGTGAGCTGTGATGATACCATGGCACTCTAGCCTGGGCAACCGAGTGAGACTCTGTCTCAAAAAAAAAAAAATCCTTCCTTTTAAGGTTGAATAATGTTGCATTTTATATATATATACACATATATATACACACACACACACACACACACGCACACACTATATTTTGTTTGCCCATTCATCTGTCGATAGATACTTCCACCTTTTGGAATTATGAATAATACTACTGTCAACATGGGTGTACAAATATCTCTTCAAGACCCTGCTTTCAATTATTTTGGATATATACCCAGAAATGGGAATTGCTGAATCATATGGTAATTCTATTTTTAATTTTTTGAGGAACCTCCATACTGTTTTCCATAGCAGCTACACCATTTTACATTCCCACCAATAACACACAGAGTTCTAATTTCTCCACATTTTCACAAACACTCTTGTTTTCTGGGTGTTTTGTTTTATTTTGTTTGGGATAGTAGCCATCCTAATGGGTATTAGGTGGTATCTCATCGTGGTGTTGGTTTTTATTTTCGTAATGATTAGTAATGTTGAACATCTTTTCATGTGCTTCTTGGCCATTTGTATATCTTCTTTGGAGAAATGTTCTCATCCTTGAAATATTCAAGTCCTTTGCCCATTTTTTAATCAGGTTGGTTTTTGTTGTTGAATTTGTAGGAGTTCTTTATATATTCTGGATATTAGCTTTTTATCAGATAAATGATTCACAGATAATTTCTCTCATTCCTTAGGTTTCTTTTTCATTCTGTTGATTGTGACCTTAGACTGCAAGATATTTTTAAGTTAACTGATGTGCTATAAAGATATTGTGCTGGTAATGAGGGAAATACTAATCACAATAATAAAAATATACACTTTTCACCCATCATATCAACTTTTGGCAAGAATATGGGGAAATGGATACATTCCTACATTGATCAATAGAAGGACAATTTAGTACACTTTGGAGGGCAATTTGCCTATATACATTTTAACTGAAAAAGGTTTCTGTCCAATAATGTAACAATTTCATTTCTAGGGAAACACTTTCACATGGGTACAAGAAGATATGCACAAGGGTGCTCATTGCAACATTATTATTATTATTTGAGACAGAGTCTCACTTTGTTGTCCAGGCTAGAGTGAGTGCCGTGGACGCCACGTCAGCCTAGCTCACAGCAATCTCACACTCCTGGGCTCAAGCGATCCTCCTGCCTCAGCCTCCCGAGTAGCTGGGAC